GTATGCTGTGCCCTTCTGGCAGTGGACAGAGTTGATTTTGCAGGGCTTCAGTAGTGTATCCAGTGTGCTTCAGTTCACACTGTGTCTTCAAGCATCTTTGCAGGAAAAGAAATGGCTGTGTAAAGTCTTTAATCTTTTAATTAAGCCTTAAACTGAAAATAAGCTGTAAAAGGCATTAGAGTAGAAAGACGAACATTAATTATTTTGTCAGGTCTTAAATTAAATTCCAATAGATAATATTAGTAAAGTAATGTAAATATTAGCTGTAATTTATTCCCCATGTTATCTGCCACCTTTTCTGTTTCCAGAGAAAAAAATATATCAGGTCTATTCAGGTGCATATTAGTCTCGTAAGAGTGACAGTTTCATGAACTTTGAAGGTCTGTCAAGTCAGCTTTTGTTGGGACAGCGAGTGTTTTTAGGTATATTGTATCAGAGTATCATAGGTAGAAGCAATTACAGTTGTCAAAGCTGCAGACCTGGCTTTTAAGCGCTTAAGTCACAGTTCAGAAAATGGTTCCGTTCAGCACACACAGTCCCATCCACCAACATCTCCCTTCAGAGAGCTCGCATAACAGTGATTGCATTTTTTTGCTTTAGTTATTTTTGCATAACATGAGTTATGTGAGCACCAATGCGTGGAAAAAAGCCAAAACTTAAGCCAAAAAGTATGTGTGTTGTCAGCCACTCTGATGCTCACGTTTTGTTTTTATTTCTCAGGAAAAAAAAGAGACTTACTGTATATTCTCTATTGCAGTGCAGTTTTTCTGTACTAGCAGCCCATATTCAGCACTTCAGTGGTGGATAGACTCTTATAACTCACCAAAAAACTGAACAGCTCCAGGCAGCGTATTTGTTCAATAGCCACAGGACCTGACTGTTAATAAATGGAAATTAGTCATTTGCATGTGTTGTAGGAGTCCCGTTAGCTAGCAGAGGAATGTCTGAACCCTCTTTTTCAAAGAATCATAGAATATCCTGGTTTGGAAAGAACCCAAAAGGATCAAGTCCAAACTGTCTCAACACAAGACCACCCAAAATTCAAATTATATCTGAGAGCAATGTCCAAACACTCCTTGAGCTCCATGGACCCATGGCCATGCCCACTGCCCTAAGGAACTGTTCCATGCCCACCGCCCTTTGGTGCAAGAACCTTTTCCTGGTATGCTGAAGGTATATATATCTCTGTGTGTTTCTCTCCCCTTGGGTTCCCAGACTGGAAGTACCCCTTGGCACTGCCTTCCCTCCCACCTTGCATGAGCAGCCTGATAGACCACTGCTGGGCTGTGATGGGGCATGACCTGGGAGTTTGCTTATGTTAATCCCTAGTTGGCAATATGTTCATCAAGAGGACTGTAAAACTACTTGAGGCATGGGATGTAGCTCTTCTTGGTCTACTTAATCAAATAAATTCTGAAGATTTATAGAGAATCATTGTATGAATCTATTAGGAAGAATTTTATTGGCAGAAAAGGATCTCAGCAATGCAGAATTGGCAACATGGGAAAACTAAAGATGAGAAGGAAAAACTAACATCATATGTCTAGGGCTAGAGCAGCAATCCAGCTTTTTAAACCTTTAATATCTTCCTACTGAATCATAATTTGTATGATGCTCACTCTCTCCCTCTCTCTCTCTCTTTTCTTTTTTCCTTGTAACTTTCCAGGCTTGCTTTATCTGTCTGTCTATTTGTCTATCTGTCTATCTATCTATCTATCTGTCTGTCTATCTATCTATCTGTCTATCTATCTATCTGTCTGTCTATCTGTCTTCGTCCTGCTGCAGCCATTCTCTGACGCTTGTGCCCTGGAAACAGTGCAGCTGCAGCATTGCTCCCTTCAAATTGTCAGTGATGGCTGTACAGATAGCCCCCATGCCACAGGATGCGCTCAGCTTGCAGATGAACACAGTCCAGACAGACAGGAAGCTGGTGAGGACTGGGTAAAGTTGTGCAATTTAACACTAATAGATACTTGACTGTCCAGGTTTCATTTAAAATACTGGAATAAAGAATGAAAAAACATTGTTAATATTAATCAGCTGAGTTACCTTTGCTGACAGTGTGAAGGTCATGGATAGTGACCATGGATAGTGAAAGTTAGCAGAAGTGAAATATGTACACGGCAAATAACAAGCCTTAAAAAAGTGATCTGTACAAGGAAGAATATTTTAATTATGAAGGGTATACTTGGAAGCCAGCAATGTGAAGAAAGCCACAGTTTAATCACAGTGGACTGTGACTCATAATGGGGCATCCCTATTTTGTGAAGGCTTACATTTCCATGTGTGGTTGGAGCACAGGAAGTCCAGGGCATTTCTCTGACTTATTTCCTCAGTTGCAGGTGTTTTGCCAGAAGTAACTCAGCCACAGGATCAGAGAATCATGTAGGCTGGAGGTCTGGCAGTAGCCCAGCCCAACTCTGCTGTTCCACCAAAGCAGGAGCAGCTTAGATCGGATCGCTGATGTCCTTGTTCCTTTGAGTGTCGAATATCTCCACATCTGTTCCAGTGCTTGACCACTCTCTTAGTGGAAAAAGTCATCCTAACACCTAACTGGAATTTCCTGTGTCCCACCTTCTGTTTTTGCCTTCTGTTCTGTCACCACGGACTTCCAAAAAGCTTGTCTTGTCCATCCTGTGGTGTAGAAATCAGTTATGTACATCAGTAAGATCTCCCCATAACCTTCTTTTCTCCAGACTGAAGAAACCAGTTCCCTCAGCCTCTTGTTCTGCATTATGTGCTCCAGTACCCTGCCTGCCTTGGTAGCCCTGACCTGGACTTGCTGCATGCTGTTTGTCTCTCTTTCTTGTACAGAGGAGCTCAAAACTGGACACAATCCTCCAGAGATGTTCACATAAATACCACATGAGAAATAATCAGGTACCTCAATTTGTTGGCTACACTCATGTAATGCAGCCCAGTATGGGCAGACTGCCAACTCATATTCAGTTTGCTGTCCTCAGGACCCTAAGCCCTTCCAAAGCTGCTTTCTCCACATTTGTGCTCCAGCTTGTGCTGTGGAGTGGAGTTACTGTGTTCCAGATGCAGGACTTTGCAATTGCCTGTGTTAAACTTCATCAGATTTCTGTCAGCCTGTTTCTGTGTTAACATTCCCTCTGTACAGCAGCCCTGTTCTCCAGTGTACAAGCTGCTCCCTCTCACTTAGCGCTACAGTGGACTTTCTGACTATTTAATACACCCTAACATCCAGGTCATTACTGAAGGTCTTAAAACAGCATAATCAGCTCTGATATGGACTCCTCAGGAATGAAACTAGCAAATGGCTGCCAGCTGGACTTTGTACTGCTGTCTGTCATCACCTTGCATGTCAGTGCATGGAAAGTGAGACTCTAATCAGAGCACTTTTGACCCACAGTTGAACTTTCTATTAGCCTGAGCATTCTGGAGAGCTAACACTGAAGTTGTTCCAGATTTAGTGGTTTGCATTCTGTGTGAAGTCAGCAGGCATCTCTTTCCCTTCCCCAGAATTACTTGCTGTTATTAATGAATGTTTAGGAAGATTAAAATCATTAGGTAATCCATGTAGTGTAGATGAGGAAGAAACACCAATCAAGTGGAAGCTCCAGCCTGTTTCCAGTAACAGATTTCCTTGAGCAAGAAGCAGGAGTGCACCATGCTATCGATTTAGAAGAGTTGCTAATTCTCCAGTCAGTTCTCAGTATCTGATTGATTTTTAAAGTGGAATTATTATGATTAGCTTTGCAATCAGGTTTTCAGACATGACTCACTGAAGAACTTTCACAAGCCGCTTTAGCTTGGGTTGAAATGGAAGCGTTCGTGAAAGACGCTTTACTAAGGGAATCCTTAACACACAGGAAAAGAATTAAACTAAGATGGGCTGTTCTCAAAAAGCAACAGGTCTTGGAAATATATAATACATTTTTCTGGAAGATGGGTTGGCACTAGTCTTCCAAATAGTGGACAGGAGTCGTTTTTGGAGAGAAATTCACAGACTCTTCTAAAGGCACAGAAGCTGCTTCAGCATTACTAGGGGTTGGAGGCTGGGAATGTATTAGAGGGAGGACCACAAGCTTATAATGCTCCTCTGGTCTTCTGTAGACACACACTCCTGCCCACTCTCACAGGTGCCAGGAAAAGAGATCTGAACCGTTTGTCCTAGTGGCTTGCCACAATTTCCAAGTTTTCTCAACAGTACTTGAAGAGCTGAAACATTTCTGGCTAGTACTACTGACAGCTCAGCAGCAACACAGGCAGCAGTCATCACTGCATGTTCTGGGCTTTTTTTTGGTTGTAGTTTGTTTGGTTTTCTGAGAACTGGTGTTTTGACTGTGGTTACAGTGAAACACTGAGTTTGTTTCAATATGCAAGAAAAAGCAATGGGACAATAGCTGTCTGCTGTTTGTTCCTTCCACCCAGCTGCTCACTACATGAAGGCATATCCTAAGCACATCCTTATACATCTCACATAACAATTAGCAGGAGCCTGGTTCCCTGGCAGGCTTGTGTTGGCATAATATCAGGAAATTGTTTTGCTGGGAGTTTGAGATGACGTGGTAAATAAGTTTATCTGCAGGTCAGTTCTGGACAGAGAAGTGGCAGCTCCCAGACAGAGACACCAGTGAGTTCCTGATGATGGGTCAGGTGCTGGACTTCTGAGACTTATGCCACTGAGTTAACAATTGAGCTGATTATTGTGTCAAAAGAAAAAAACAGCTACCACTTTGCAGCACCTGCCTGGCCGGAAACTGGAGAGAAGCGCATCTGTGAATGAAAATCAGATGCTTATTCAAGACTTCTGCTATTCAAGACTTACGTTACTTGTTCAAGAAGTATGTTCCTAAGTGCAAATGCAGGATGGAATTAAGGATTGGTGCTTTTTGGATTATTCAGCTAGAAATTTCCTTATCATTAGTCAAAAAAGAAAGGGAAGCAGGCCTCACAGATGAGTGTACCACCAAGTGTTTGTACTGGTGCATCCTACAAAGACTGTGCAACCAGACACTTAAAGAGACATTAAGTATCAGGCAGTGTTTTATTACACAAGCTATTTGTACAGAGATATACAGAGGTGCCTTTCTGTCAGAAGGGCAGCCAATTACCAGTCATCAGCAGCAAGATCATTTCCTGCCGAACTGTGGCAGTGGTGGTGGCACCTTAATATCTTGACCTTTTTCTAGTTTCTTCTCACAGTCAACTAGGTAATTGACCCCATCAATGACAATCTGGACTAGTTCCACCTAGAGAAAGAAAAAAAAAAGGTAGTAAGAGCTTTAAGTAATGCTATTAATAGAGAAAGGAAAAAACTGTCTTGTTCTGCAAGAACAATTACAACTGGCCCCAAGGAGAGTCACAGCACAGAGATCGCATGCCCTGTGTGACACCAGAGACTTGTACATCTTCACAGACATGGATTAGGACCCTGCATTCTCTTACAGATCACCATAAACTCATGTTCTGTCACAATAACTTGTCAGCTGCCTGCATTCAGGGAAAGATTTCCCACCCACCCTGGCTGGCATGATGGCTTTGCTGAGATGGTTCATCAGGCTCAGAACCCACATTTCTGAAGGAAATACCATCATCCCAAATTCATGCTGGCTCTACACCATGTACCATTCCCTTGTTTTCAACGGAGGTGCTCTTGATATACACTGGCAGAGATGGGATTAGCTTCAGGCCCAGAGCAGCACCAAAACTGGCAATTCTGTATGGCAGAGTGTAGTGATGTCTTTGTAATCTTTTCAAATTGCAGAAGAATCCAAAGAGCCTTGCCCTCATCAGGCTTTCTCCGGGCCCTAGTACTTTGTTACTGTCACTGTAGCCAGCAAACTATAGTACCAGTTTTTCTTAATTTTCACAAGATGGTCCATTAACAACCGTTAATGACTGGTTTGTTGAAACAGAATGCAAAGACTAAATCCCACTGTTGCTTGATTGTGACAGTCACTGATTTTCAAGGGATTTGTTTTTGCAATGAAGCATGTCAGTGGCTCAGTAGTTTATTATATTGTCTGTTATAGACCAGCTGTTTTGGGAAATCAGAGGTCTGAATTTGCAGCCTCCAGGAGAATAGGAAATTCATATTGAGTTTGCATTGACCACTAACTGAAACAAAACAAAAATACAAAGAATTTTATCTTGCACCTTTGGGAACATAATTCAATTCTGAAAGCAAATTTACCACATAATTGAATTTATTTACTAGAAACTGAAAAAAATATATCTTACAATAAAACATTTTTATCTTGTTGAGTTTCTCTTGTCTTATTTAGATTTCAAAATCTTCAAGGCAGGGATTGTATTGTATCTCCTGGCTCAGTTCTCTGAATGCTTGCTTTATGAAGCATCACTGACTTCAATGGGTGTCTTCATATATAGGAAAAATTTACAGTGCATATACAATAGAATCCCTTGATGAATTATATAGTGTAATCCTTTCATATTTTTTAGTGTTAATTTAGTATAGAGCACACACAGTGATGCTTCAGATGTTAATAAATATCTTTGCTACATACTGTTTCTGCATATAATAATGCTAAATAGCTTTTTACTTTTGAACATTTCAGTTTAGATTCACAGGAGCTTAACTGCTTACATTAAACTAAACAAAAAAATTAATTGTCAATGTTCTGTCCAAACACCCCTTGTTAGTGAAGATGTTTAAGGGCATATGTAAATAAGGAAGTAAGGAAGACCTGACTTGGCTTTGTCTCTGAGGCGGAAAATGCAAGACAAGCAGGAAGGCAAACCAGCTGACTAAATGTGAGCTAATTTGATCCAAGCGCAATCCAAGTTCATTATCCCAGGACTGTATTTGTGTTACAAAAACTACCAAGCATCAGGCTGAATTCAGGTGTTGGGTTTCAACAAATTGCATCCATGTCTAAGCTGCCAAAGATTCCCCAGTGCTGTGGTATTCTGGGAAAACACACCTTCACCACACTCATCTGGGAGATGAAAGATAGTTGGCAGAAGATTTGAGGCTATCTACTGGCGGAGTGGTCAAATTGCTGGACTTACAGGGCCTTGACAGATCAGCTTTTCTATCAGTTGTTCTTGATGTGGCCTAGAGTAGACATAACAGAAGCTATAGCTGTGTCACAGGATGTACAGCCTATGACCTGGAATAACATTCTGGGAGTGCTACTGGAAGGACGCTATAACACTGGCACTGCCATTTCTTGACCATCCTTCAGCAGAATTGCTCATAGGAGCTGTTCTGCTTTATAAATATGAAATTGGAATGGGGTCTGGGACCTGAGTGTTCCATGAAAGCAGCCTCCCTGCTAAGATGTAGGGTTGTTTTCACTCTCTGGCTCCACAAGTACACATTCAAACTGAAATGTCTTCAAAAATGCGTGAGATGAACTCATCTCACCATAGTCTACTGCACAGTGGAAGGAATTCAGAGCTGACAAGTCAGTATCTTCCTTGATCAAAACCCAGCTCTTTTGTGTCTTCTGCTCAATTTGACGCAGGACATGAGAAGATACCAACAATTTCTCCTTTTATTATTTTGGAGTGAAAGGACTGACCTCATCCTGTTCTTACAGCATGGAGAAAGTGCAAGACTGTGAATACTAAAAGGAAAACAACACATTAATCCCGTCTTGCTTTCTGTACCCAATTTCCTTTGTGGGTTAGGACACAATCCTTAATTATCTCCTTGACATTTTACAGCAGGTCACATTTATGGTGCCTTCTCATGGCAATTTTTTTTTTCTCTCATTACCATGACAAGAATATTTGGCAAACACTTGATGCACGTGTATAATTTTTTGTCCTGCAAGCATCTTCATTGGATCTAGAAATGCAAACCACCACAATTCCATTGAGGTGACTCTGAGACCAGAGTGAACCCAGTTGAAAGGAAACTGACTTGTTCATTTCAGATCTGTGTAAGGAGCAAGGAGGAAAAAAAGAAAAGGTATCAGGTTACCTCTGATCGACCCATGCGGTCCAGGTTGGAGATATCATACACGTCTGCTACAGCTGCAGTATCCACCCCACCAGTGCCACGCTTTTGCAGCCTCAGATTCTCCAGGATTTTTGGAAACCTAGGATCCTAGCAGAAAAACAGATTTGTGTTTACAGCCTTTTAACCTGTGCATTGTGCAGAATCCTTGTAATGCTTTTATACATGACTTAATGTGTAGCATCTCCAGACACACAGGCAGTTTTCTCAGTCCTTATTTACAGCAGGCACATCCAATCCACAGCCTGCAGGTCGCATGTGGCCCAGCCCACCCCCTGCTGCAGCTGCTGCCCCACACCACTGTGGCAGCAGCTCAGCACCACCAGGCATCTTGGCCTGACCCCAGGCACGCACTCGTCACTCACAACAGCCACACAGCAGCGCGTGATCAGCACTGTGTGGGCTGTAAACAGAGCATGCACTGCAGTGGATAACTGTATGCACTTGGATACACTGGCTGAACACAGTTCTCTGAACTGCAAAAAATATGCAGCACTGCTTTCTGTTGTGATGAAGGAATTTGAGAATAGACTCCGAGATTGCTAAAAAATCAGTTTATGTTTGTGACTCCATTTTCAGTCGATAGAAATACATGACCTGCAAATTTTAAAATGGAATATATAGAGTTGCAATCAGATATTCAACTCAACAATCTGATCTTGTCTCTATTGGACTTCTATAAGCCCTCCTAATCAGAGAGAAATACCCCTTGCTTCAGAAAGGGTACCTTGTTCATGTCATTGCTTTTGGTACCTTTGTGAACAACTGCTTTCAAGGGTGAAGCACAGGAAAAATAAACTTTTTTTTTTTTTCAAAAAGCTCTGATGAACACCTTGAGACCTCACTAAGAATTACCACGACTGCCATCAAACTGGGGTAACATATTAGGTTCCAAAAACATGGTGACATATCCCACTAGTTTTATGGTTTTGTTGCTCAAATACTCTATAAAAAAAAAATTGAATGTTTTGTTACTTATATATTAACTATATTAACTATATAGAACTGCTCTGAAAGTAACGTCTCCTATTTTATGATGTTGTTCCACAACATCAGAAGGAAATGGTGGTGGTGGGGCAGTAGGAACTGAACATTCCTACCCATATTCTGTTACATTTTTTTGCCTTGTGACAGATTGTAGCAGGGGGACAGCCTGGCAAAATCGGTGCAGAACATGGAAGTGCATATGTAGCAAATGTGTGGAATTGTATTCCCACATGCAGAAAAAACGGCACCCACTGACATTCACTGATGCTTGCTGAACATTTCTGGAGATCAACCAGTGGATGTGACTACAGTAACAGCAACAGTACATCACCTCCACTGGAGCAGATTTTTGTAAGAGTGACATGCAAGTTCTTGTTTATTGCTGGTGAAATTGCAGAGCTAATGGTGGAGACTGTGTTGAAAAAGAGTGCTTTGTAGCTGAGAATTTACTCTATCAAACAGTGTTCTTGTGCTCTTTGTATCTGTTGTAGTTTCCATGAAAATAAATAGGAGGTATTGCCTTCAGAGAAATCCATATATATGCTGCCCAAAACAATTCTTCGTCACTCAGTGCCGCCCAGGCAAGCCAAACGGTTTGACCTACGGATTACAGCCTGTCTTGGCACTGTCTTCTAAGTACATTAATTTCCATAACAAATACAATAATTTGCAGAATAAAAGTTTGCTTAATTAGTTATACATAATCCTTGGGACCTTGTTATATATCACACTAACACGAAGTCTGTGTAAGCTGTCATTTTGCATTTGTTTCTCTGTAAATCATTTGTTCCTCAGTAAATCAGAAGAGCTGACCTATGTCACTAGCCTTTTAAATGAATCATGTACCTTGCTAAGCTTGGGCAGCTTGACATGGACTCCAGCACGTAAACCAGTTCCCAGGTTGGATGGACAGGTCAGAATGTACCCGAGGCGTTCATTCCACATGAATTCCCAGCCCCGTTCTTTAATTAATCTTTCAACCTATGAAGACAATAAGCGAGAAAGTGAAAAGAAAGTGTTACATATATATCATGTTCTAAGATATTTCCTTGTACCTGAGATTCTTCTCATCACGTGAATGTGCTGATGGTGAGCTCCACTAACACTAATGCACAAATGCACGCCTGAATTCAGTCTGGTCCATGCCTTTTGCAAACACAAGATGCCAACTTCTTCACTGAATAGTACAAGAATTTCTTCATTATTTTCTCAGTCATTAACTTGTAGATTCTTGGTCACTTTATCACAAAGCTCCCTGTCGCGACGGTTTTGTATTGCCTTAGCCCATGAAGTCATATGTTCACCTCAGAATTATGGCCTTTGCAGTGCATTTCTAACCTTAGGAAGATTGCAATTCATAAAAGCCTCAAAGCCTCAAACATACGGATTAAAAAACAAACAAACAAAACGGAGCTACAGGTGAGTTTTCTATCAATTCTGGAATGGCTCCTGACTCTTAGGAGAAGGTACTTGACTTATTTATGCCTAAATTTAATTATATTCCTTTGCAGTTCAGATGAAGTACGTGTGCCAGGGTCACCAATGGGGAGAAATGATTGTTCTGTGTAACACTGACAGTTTTGAAGACAATTAGTGTTTTATGTACTCTGGCAACCTATGCAGGAAGGATGGGAAGGAGGAGCAGAGTCTTATGCCTTGTCGCCTGCCCCACTGCACCTTCTTTGCACATTGTCTGTGGGGGACTAAGTATAATCCTTTTTCTCAGAAAAAGAAAGAAATTTTTCTCTGTCTGAGCAGTACATGGGGCTAACTAATGCGGCCTGCTTGTAGCCATTCCCAAGTTGTCTGGACAATGCTGTTCTAGCCTGTGTACCAACACATGAAGGCTGTTTTTGTCTTTAGGAGTAGCTGACCATTTTCTCTGCAGCTCAGCTATCAATTTTCCTTTGTTCCCTTCTTTAACTGCACTAGTGTGTTTTGCTTTCGGGACTGATGTTACTGTTGCCCCTGGAGATGCCAGTATGAACCATGGTAAGCAGTGCTGATAACTGCCCAATTGCAACCAGGCAGGAAAAACAAAGTCTGGTTCTTACCTCTTTTAAGCCACGGCAAAATCTTTCAAACACCCGTTTCATATTTCCACCCTTCTCCATGGAGATCACTCTGGTATGGTCCTCTTCATTAATCCAGATGAGAAATGTCTTATCGTTGTTATGCCTGGTTGAGAGGAGAAGTGCTACTTTAAAGCATGAGACAAATGCAGTTCTCTCTACACCCACCTTTATTGCAGCTTTTCAGGACTTTGTGGAAGGTAAGTGCAGCAAAGCAATATTGCTCTGAAGAGTGAGGGTTGAGATAAGAGGAACATGTTGTCTCCCAGCTCAAGCACAGCTGGTGGAGATCAAGGGGAAAATACCAGCCCTACATCCACTGTCTGTGAGCACGTTCTTTATTGATCTCTGTATACTGTGCAGCTAGGAAAGAAAACTGATGTTTACATGCTGCTGGGGGCCAGGCTCTGTGCCTTTACTTAGCTGTGTTCACTACTTCAAATCTCTGAGCTTGCTTTCCCATTTGGTTGCACTGTATGGCCACATCCATGGAGTTACATGGAGGACAGCATCTACATGTGGGCACTGCACTGGAGCTGCTGGGTCATCAGTCAAGCTACAAATCCTGAAGTTAGCTACTCCTACTTTAAACAGTTCACTGTAGCTAAGCATGTAAAGAGCCAGGTTAAACCCAAGGCAATTTTTAGTAGCTTTCTTCCACTTTCTCTGTCTTATCCACAGTCTTTCTTGCAGCATGTAGTATATGTCTGGCAGGATCAGACTCCTTTGTACAAATACTGTAATATTACCAACTTTGAAACATATGAAATGTGGAAGTTTAGTTCTCTAAGCATGATTTTCAGCTTATTTGCCACTGTGAAGCCTTTTGCTGACACATAACTGTGCAGGTACAAACATCACAGAATCACAGAATTGTAGGGGTTGGAAGGGACCTCCAGGGATCATCGAGTCCAACCCCCCTGCCAAAGCAGGTTCCCTACAGCAGGTCGCACAGGTAGGCATCCAGGCAGGTCTGGAACATCTCCAGAGAAGGAGACTCCACCACCTCCCTGGGCAGCCTGTGCCAGTGCTCCGTCACCTCACTGTAAAGAAGTTCTTGCGCACATTTGTGCGGAACTTCCTGTGCTGCAGTTTCCGGCCGTTTCCCCTTGTCCTGTCTCCACTCACCACTGAAAAGAGTCCAGCCTCGCCATTCTGCCCCCCACACCTTAGATACTTATAGACCTGGATCAGGTCCCCTCTCAGTCTCCTTTTCTCAAGGCTGAACAGACCCAGTTCACTCAGCCTTTCCTCATAGCAGAGATGCTCCAGGCCCTTCACCATCTTCGTGGCCCTCCGCTGGACTCTTTCCAAGAGATCCTTGTCTTTTTTGTACTGGGGAGCCCAGAACTGGACGCAGTGCTCCAGATGAGGCCTTACCAGGGCAGAGTAGAGGGGGAGGATCACCTCCCTCGACCTGCTGGCCACGCTCTTTTTAATGCACCCCAGTAAGCCATTGGCCTTTTTGGCCACAAGGGCACACTGCTGGCTCATGGCCAACCTGTCATCCACCAGGACACCCAGGTCCCTTTCCGCAGAGCTCCCCTCCAGCAGCTCATCCCCCAACCTGTACTGATGCATGGAATTATTCCTCCCCAACATCCTGTGCCCTGACATTAAGGTTACCTGAGACCCAGATCCACTAACAAACTTTTCAATCTTACTATTTCTTTCTACCGAGTATTTCACATGTAAAACAAGCCCAATTGTATTCAACTTGGGATCACTGGATAGTCTACATTGGTAGCACTTTTTCTGTTTGTAGAAACAGCAGATGGGGTGCCTCAAATTTATCACCTTGTTGGAGCAAGCCTCTTTCTCAGATACAAATGGGGACCAGGGAACCAATCTGAAGTTTATTGAAACAGAAATCCTCACAGATTTCTAACAGGTCATTAGTGTTCACGAGTGGTCGGGTTCCACAGTGCCTGCTCCCAAGCAGAAAGCAGCTTTAGTTTGTTTCAGTAATTCTGGATGTGCTGAACACGAGCCAGTGTTCCCAGTGTGGGGAAGAAATTTCTTCTCCCACATCAAGACGCAACGTCTCTGAAAGTCTTGACTATTCCTAGAGCAAGGAGATAAGCTAGATTTCTTCTCATAGTTCTTTCTGCCTACTTTTTCAAGATTAAAACGTTTGGTAACCCATAGACATGTAATAGGAGAGATGCAGATGCACTGCACAGCCATCTGCATTGTCTTCTAGGCAGTGTGCACTGATCTGGGGGCTATTATTTCATTATATCCATAGAAAATATTCTGTTTGTGCACAAAACCTATCAACTGTGTTGTGAAAGAAGGGACAGACCCAGAAGAAAATGGGAAATTCAGCTTCTGCTATATACCATCTTTGCCCAGGTCATTTGGAAAGGAAGTGTTACTTTCAATTCAGGGAACTGATAAAACACCCTGTCTACTGAGACAGGAGGCAGGAATTAGTGATGCAGTGTCCTGCAGCTGTATGGCCAGTGGTTTCCAGCTGTCAGCATCACTGCTGACTGCTGCTACAGCTGCTTTCCTAAACTCAGTTACACTGGTTTCATAGTGACTGATAGGCCTTTTCCCAAATCAAATTTATAACTAGAAATAGAAATAGAAATAGAAATAGAAATAGAAATAGAAATAGAAATAGAAAAAATTGGAGATAAAGACCCAAGGAAAGAGCCATGCTTATGTTGTAGTGATATTATTAGAGATACATGAAAATATTCTGTGAACATAAAGGTCTTATTTACTTCTCTTTCTTGGATATTAATATATTTTAATTAAGCAAGAATTTATTATTTTTTTTTAAAGCAACTAAATATGCTGTGAGTATCAGGATAGCATGGCTGCAAAGCTAAGACAAGCAAGGAGAACAGTAATACAATCTTTAAAACACAGCAGATGCCACACAACATACCAGATTCCTCTGGCATCCGGCCAGTCACGAGCCATCCCAGCACATGTCAGCAGAGGGGACACTGGCTTGTCAAAGAGAAAGTGATCCTAGACAAGGAAATGGGGCCAGAGAGAAAGGGAGAGAGAGAAAAGGAAACAAGATTCAAGTTCATTCAGGGAAGCAGTATAATTTTGTATCAATACATTTTACATGAAGGCAATCAGTGTACAAGTAAATGATGTAGTATACCCTATGAATCTGGTTCCTTCTTGTGGAAGCTTAAAGCACATTACCCAGGTGAATTTTCCTGAATCTTGCAGGCTCTTGATTGGCAATGTACAAGAGTGTTTTCCCAAAACACTTCTTGTAGGGGAAGCCAATTAGCCTTTACAGACTGCAGAATATCCAGTGGCAGTTTTGAAAAGAGGTAGCACTATGCTGGGCTCAACCTCTGGCATCACAGCCTTGTGCAGCTCTTCAGCAGTGATGCTGTCTCCAGTGTTAATAAACTCAGCACTCAGTGTGCCACAGACTTGTCATATTTCAATTATTTTTTTTAACTGAGATTTCTTTTTGTTCCAAAGCGGATAAGATTTTAATGGGTGTGCTGAAAAATAATTAGTTCTCAATTCCTCAAACACTGCCTTGTCAAATATTGTATGTGGTTGTTTTTTGTTTTTTTTTGTCTTTTTTTTCCCCTGGAGTTTAATTAAGATTAATACCAAGGCTATCCAGAATAAATATGACATGATAGACAAGCTAATAAAATTTACTTTCTTTTCCCCCTTAGTGGAGAATTTTCGACTTTCATCTCTGAATACTCTGTGATAGGCACATGCAGGGGAAAATGATATGGAGTTCCACAGGGACGAGACATTTATTTTCTCTACCTGCTCTGTTCCACACTTCTGTCTGAGAAAAAAAGGCATCCTTTTGCAAGTGAACAGCAGAGTGCCATTACTTTCTTGTACAAGCATATGGGCCAAACCTTCAATGCCTTCTGTGCTGAGTGCACTCATTTTGTCTTAGAGAGATCAAATAGTGCCTGCTAAACAGTGACAGCAAGCTCTAAGATACACGTTGGGGTTTTGAGGTCCTAAAGTACTGAAGGGAGAAGGCAATGTTATGAGTAAAAGATAGAACCTGGGGTTACAAGGTTCAATGCCCTGATTTTTATTAATTTGCACTACTGTAAAAGCTAGCAAAGTAAGGCAAAATGCTGAATCGGTGAACCTATTCCACCTCCCTTTGATCTCTGCCTTCTGAAGAGCTCTCTCCTGCTGAAAAGGGCGATGGAGTAAAGTTCACACAGGTAACCAACATCTTGCCAATAAATATATCACCAGGAACATTCAATAAAAAACATTTCTGACCTTACATAATGCATAACTCCTGGTTAATCCAGACTATAACACCTGATTGTAGTGTTATAAATAGTTATGCTACTTCATCAGCTGCCTTTGTGTTGATGTAACAAATAACTGTGTCGTAAATATAGCTAACAGGGTACAGATATTCCTTTGGATATATAAAATGCACATGCAACATTTGTGTTGTTTTGTTGTTTTGTTTTCATTTTTTAAAACAATCTTATAGATTTTTATGATTTTTAAAATCTCAACATGAATCCCTGTTATGGGTTTTCAAGGTGATTGTTATTTGTGCTAGGTTAGCACTTGGAAACTTTGGCTGCCTCAAAACATCTCTGCAGAACTGAACAATGACATAAATCCATGGTGGAAATCTTTGTATTTCCGTCTCTGTGACAATGAAAATTGCTTTTGACCCTTCAAGTTCATAAGTGCATTTGTAGGACTGGGAAAAGGCCATAGGATGCAGTTGGCTACAACCATTCCAGGGAAAGAATTCATGTAATTTTGACATAAAGCAGTTATAGATTAAAGCCCCAATCCCGGCAGTCTGGAATACAAATAATATATAATATTTTAATACGTAATACTTGTAGTTAGAATGGTTATTAATATAGGAAATGCCAATCTTTGAGCAAGAAAATAATCAAGGAAAAGTTCTGCTTATTTGTCCAAAGAGGTGGCAGCAGCATCCACATAAATTTCACAAAGAGCTTGATATCCAGAACGTAACTCCATGTGCCTACACATAGAGTCCATGTGTATAGCCAAAACACAGACCCTGGATAATTTGCCATTAAGTTAAAAATATTGCTGGGCCAATAGCCACTGGATTAACACTATGATTATCATCCCTAACTACAAGGAAGGCATGTACCCTACAGGAAGGTGAAGGTAAAAATAAACAAGGGTAAGTGTAGACAGTGTCAGCTCTGGAGCTATACTTACATCAATAAGCTGCTGCTGATCCCTCTCAGACATGTTGGTCAAGCTGTAGTACTTTCCAGCAAGGTCTCCCTTCAGCCCAGCTAGGGCAGTTACCACAACGTTTTCCACCTCTCTCCTCTCAGCCCTGGTGCAGGCAGGAGGAAGGCTCAGGCCACGGATGCTGCGGCCAGTGCGCACACGTGATGAGAGGACATAGTGCTCATCAAAATAGCCATGGGTGATCTGAAGGAAGAATATGGGATTTTATGGTTGATGCATGCTGTTTTGCTACACTATTAGAAGAAAAATTCCAACCTACAAAATGCGGTACGTCCTTCTGCCTGAGGATCTTGACCCAGGATATGGCAGAGTAACCAACTGGTCCTTCAGTTGAAGGTCCCACCACGGATGGAATACTACAGCAGCAATACTGTAATTGTGGGAAGCAGTCCTGATCTTCTACTCCCTTATTATTTTCAGTCTTACCTTGGATGCATCCAGGTCAGTATGATGCTTCATAGTACGTGGATCATAGCCGTTATGTCTTGCTTTAATGACAGGGTCAAAAATCTCAGCAAACACCTATGGAAGTCAGAAAAATCAGTAGAGAATCTGCCACGCCACAGAAACAGTCAAAAGCATGAACCTCAGCCACAGGAGAAACACTTTGGCATAGACAGGGAGCTTTGCAAATGCTGACAGGGGTAAGTATGAAAAGGGCATTTTGACCTAGACAGCGCTCTGTAGCGGTTGCTGATCTTCACACAAAATGAAGGTGTAATAGCAGATTACAAGCCTGCTTTGGCTACCACAGACAGGCATGGAATGTTGTGACAACCAGACTAGATTTCAGAATGTATTGCCAACTAGAATACATAGAGTATCTTGGCAGCTTGCCTCCTGCTTTTAGGTCATTCAGGACCAATACCATGATCCTCGTTAGAGTCACATGTCAGCTGTGGCCACAACCACACCTTCATTCAGTCATGGGTCAGTAGCCACAGCAGCTTTTCAGGGTAGCCACCACATCTGTAGGGGAAAACTGAACTGCAGGAGCTGATAACCCAGAATGTCAGAAGTCCCAGTCCATCTTCCATGGCCCAGCATTTGGGATGCTGTTAAGAGACCGTGTAATAATAGGTACTGTTGTGTAGTAGGCTGAAGGAAGCAGGCTAGAGATGTCAAGAAAAATAAGAATTTTCTTTTTTTTCCTATTCTTCTTACTACTTCAGTGTTAAGTAAACCTGTCCGTCTTAATGCTGTCTGTTTTCTTCTTCTGTCATGATCCAATAGCTGTAGCTTAAAGGTGTCTGGCAAATCCCAGAAGACATTTTCATTTCATTTCTGCCTTAGGTGTTCCACAATACAATTTCCACATCACCTTCATCTTGTGTATCTCAGGGTTGCATAGTTTTGCCATAAACTAAGTTTAGTAGTAGGAAGAAGGGCTGCTGCTGGAGGCAGGTAGAATATTGCTCTAAAGCAGCTGTACTTTATTAGCTTTGACTGCAGCAGAGAGGGTAGATGTAGCAATGCCTCATGTTTTTGCATTTTCTCATGTGGAAGAGTAGGGAATGCATTGTCTTTATAAACATGGCCTGCCTCTTACGTGCTCTCTGGAATGTTATTTATCTTAGGAGCGCATACCCTGCCAGGAAGCGCTGTTCAACTAATGACCATAAAAACAGCAATAAACGCAGTAATTCTATGAAAGCATTTTACCTCATAGGATTCTTCATCACCTGCAACCATGCCGACAGTTTTAATGAAAGGATGGCCAGGATTGTCTACCCCGGTTTGGATGCACTGGTCCAGGCTGTAGCCATTGGGAGTCAGCTTGTCCCTCAGCTTAGCATAAATGGCTGGGGTGAGACACTCAGCCATGCAGTTGTTGTGCTTGCGAAGATCTGGATAGTCTGCACTGAAGAGAAAAAACATCCCAAGCAGTTAACACTGTAACTTTGAACGGTGATCTTTGCTAGTTCACAGAATTATTAAAGGGATCATGACACATGAAGTATGCTGCAAGACTTGACAGTAACATTAGTTCTTTGTTTATATGTTGCACCAAATTTTAGGAGAGGAGGAACATTCAGGTCACTCCAAATGCCCCCAAACTGCACAGATGAATAATCCCGCATACAATTGCAGCTTTCTGCTACCTGCAGCAACCATAAGATAATCTTGATGAGCTTTAAAAATGTACCAAACCCCACCAATTCTCTGCTGAGACACTCCTCGTCAGAAATAAATGAGTTCTAATGTTGTTTTGTTAGGCAGGAAGGGAATTAAGTTGAAAAAGGATTTGTAATTCTAAGACAAGGTACTCTCACAGCTGTGTGGATATCAGTGGGACTGTCTGGTCTCTGTCAGTGGGAAAGCTAACTTATCTGCAATACCTGCTGTTTCTGTACTTGTATTATTACTGTTTATGTAAAGCTGAACCATATTCCAAGCCAGGAAAAATCATAGAATAATAGAATCTTTGAATGGTTTGGGTTGGAAGGGACCTTAAAGTCCACCAGTCCCAATCCCTGCCGTGGGCTGGTTATCCACCGTCAGCTGAGGCTGCCCAGGGCCCCATCCAACCTGACCTTGAATGCCTCCAGGGATGGGGCACTCACACCCTCTCTGGGCAGCTGTGCCAGGGTCACTCTTACTGTGGATGATTTCCTTCTAACATCTAACCCAAATCTCTTTCAGTTTAAAATCATTATCCTTCGTCCTGTTACTCCCTGACACAGATTCCCTGTCCAGCTTCGGACCCCTTTGGGGACTGGTAGGTCACAATGAGATCTCTCCTCCAACAAGCTGCACAACCTTAACTTTCTCAGGCTGTCTTCACAGGAGAGGTGCTGCAGCCCTCTGACAATCCTCATAGCTCTCCTCTAGACTCATTCCAACAGATCCATGTTCTTCTTAGATAGTGGGCCCCAGAGCTGAACACAGTAATTCAGGTGGGATCTCACAAGGGTAGAGTAGAAGGACAGAGTCACTGTTCACACCTCTTTTGATGCAGCCCAAGATATGGTTTTCTTTGTGGGTTGCAAACACACAGTATTGGCTTGTATTGAGCTTTTCATCCTCCAGCAACCACAGGTTCTTCTCTGGGTTGCCCTCAATCCATTCTTCACCAAAAACATTCATGTTTGGGATTGCTCCAACACAGGTGCAGCACATTTAACGTGGTCATGTTCAACTGCACAAAGTTTGTACAGGCCCACCTCTCAAGCTTGTCAATGTCTCTCCGAAAGGTATCTCTTCCTTCCAGCATTTTGACTGTATCACTCAGCTTGGTGTTCTCCACAGAATGGACATATTATGCTTATTAAGGCATTTTTGCAATCAAATCATACCCCACCTACCTTGTAACATTTTGTCTGATGCATAACCTTATTATTTCCATTGGAATTTATTTTAACTAATATACACTACTTGAGAAAAAGAGATTGGCAGAGCCTGATCACTATTGTTTTTCACAAATATTGCCAGCAAAATCAACCTGTATGTTAAGGTCTGTAGTTAGTTTCTAATCATCAGCCAACCATTTTGCAGCAGAATTAGGAATATTTCAAGTGCTGTAATTACACAGGAAAAATTTTTGCTACTTGAATGATGAAAGTATGTTCACAGTTCCTAAAGGTAGAGTCTGTACTGTCAGCCAGTCCCAACAGTTCTACATAGCTGATGAGATAAAATAGGACTAATTTAGTGTTTTGCCAGAAATTTGAAGTATTCTGTAGGCTTGTCACTGTTTGGCAGTGTTTTTTTGAGTGTTGATACTATCACACACCCCTGCTTTCTTGTCTTGAGAGTCACTGTTGGTGTAAAACTGAGGTGACCAGCAAAGGGTGTTGTTTGTCAGGTTGTCAGTCCTCAGGCACACAGACGGGGTGACTGCATGAGGACTCTGCTGCTCTGATGAGGATCTTCCTCCTCCGCGGAGCCCAACGGGATGCCTAGCCTATAGCGCCCACCTGGGAGGGAAGAGCTTCCGCTTCTCATGCACAGCAGCTTTCACATTTTGCTGGTTGAGGAGGTACCCAGTGGTGAGTACCCCTGTGCCTGCTGCTGCAAAAAGTGCAGCAGTTGCACGGCCAGCCAGGAGACGACCAAAGGTGCCAGCCATCCTTCTTGGAGGACACGATCTCTGCAAGAGAAAGCAGCCCAGCATCAACTCAAAGCCCTCTCACAGTGTGCATGACAAATAAACCATCAATTTTAACAGTGTCCCTGTAAAAGAAGCAATCTACTTTTATGGTAGGTTTGCACTGAAGTAGTGTGTTCAGACAAAATGGTTCATGTTTACTGCATTTCTCCAGCTACATAGCATTGTCGAATCCTAGAGTTATCTAGGCTGGAAAGGTACCTTTAGTAGAATTGGAAATTGGTTGGCTTTTAGTTCTGTATTGAGCACACAATTCTAAACCAGTGTATTTATTTATTTTCACGACTTAGGGCTATAATTAAATCCTCTAGTTTGCTCCATAGCAACAGCATGTTATCTGGAGACATATTTTCAGTGACCAGTAAGTCAGTACGGCAAGATGCAGTAAAGTATGGTCACATGTGATGGGATGTGACACTCATTAATTTCTTTACAGTGCTGTCACCAACAGAACCCCCATGCTTTTTCTGCATTACCTTGGCCTGTTAAAAATTGTGCTTTTTCAGCTATAGGACTAAAGTTGGAGTAGGCTATAAATCACTGCAGGAAGGAATGCTCAATATGCTTGAATCGTGAAAACCCTGACTGGCATGGGAATGGGAATAAAGGTCAACTCTTCACTATCTTTTTCAGTAAAAGAGCACATTCCATCAAATAGGAGCAAAAACCGAAACGAAGGTAGGCAGCTCTATACAACTGTCATGGACTTAAGGAACTCCTTGTGAAAGGACAATGCGGGTAAGTGGTGTGCGTGTCTTCAGCGATACTGGATAAGCACGTGGAAGAGAAATGAGCTGTGTGCGTGTAGCAGACAAAACGAAACAGGCTAACAAAATTCTTGGATCTGGCAGCAGCTGGAAGCCATGGGGACAATGCGGACAGAGCATTGCATACTTTGTTCCACTTTCCTCAATGAGCTACTGGCCTACCTACATTTTCTCCTGCTCTGAAACACTATAATCATTTTTAACACTCAAAAAGCTACAGAAAATATACAGAAGTACCTATTAAGCATCTATAACAGAAGCTTTCTGAACAGCAAATATAGCGTCAGAAGGCCATGTATAATGACTTCTTAAAGACACAAAGAACAGAAGCACACTACAGATAGCAGTTTCTGACTCCCAGCCGCTCAAAAACTTGTGACTTCTCTTCTTTCAGGACAAGGAGTGATACTCTTTTACCTTTACACCACGTGTCCTGCACAAAGATCTAGAATAAGAACAAATGTAATGGTTACTTGAATCCGCAGTGATCCAGAGGCAGACAGCAGCACCAGTAAAATAATCCAGGCTTTAAAAGCCTGTTAGGAATCCATGTGCCCAAGTATTTATAATTTATTATTCCCAGAAATGTGTTCACAGCTCAGCCATGAGTTTGATTAAACCCAAGCATTATCTCAGTCTAGCAGAGAAACTAGCATGTTCTGGAAGTCTGAAGAAGAAAATGCTGGTCTTTTCCTTCCCAGAATCAGAATGCAACTAGTTTTGCAAGTGACTTGGCTCCTGAGAAGGTGTATGTTGTGTTTAAATCAATAACACAAATTCCAATTTGTGTTGCTGAAGGAAACATTTTCTTAAAAAGGGGCTCTGACAAGTCCTGTTTGGGAAATGGACATGGAAGAGTCCCGAAAGACATGCTGCTGTTGTTTTGTCATGGCTTTATCAAGGTATTGATATTTGTTTGTATAATCTCTTCGTAGTTTTTTCACATGAAGTTAAAAATCTCACTTGGTTTTTTTTTAGTGAGCGTGGATTTCCAGCAGGCCGCTCCCTTTGGGCTGTGTGGTGGAGCCCCTCTGAGCTCTGCGAGTGCCTCTACTCTATCAATGCCTTCATTTTGGTGACAGCTGCAGGATGGGCTCTTGCAGCTGTACCAAAAACAAAGTGGGAGATGGTAGGATTGCAAATCAAAATGAAGTATTGGGTCTGTGGTGGATAGTGCTTGTGCCTTATTGCACTGTAGCTTCTGCAACCCATGCTCTGGAAATATTTGCTTGTGACTAATTTGAGGAGAACTATTAGTGCTATACCTCAGTGTCTCAGAAACGATTCATTTTCTTAACAATGGTATGTGTTTGTAGTTCTGTTTCACAGATGCTGTCCCTACTGCATGGAATTGGCCTATAGTCAAAATGTTGCCCTGAAAACCCAAAGCTGTGCACATGTCCCTTTGCAGACAGTGACACCATCCCTCCAGCAGCCCCAGGCACACATCAGCTGTGAATCTTTTTGGTACATTCTGAATACTGCTTTACTTCAAGGGGCCAATCTGACCCACACACCTCATTAAACTATAGGAGTCACATGTGGAGTGTATTTAGAAGGCCACAAGAGCATGTGTCTATGCATTGTCTTTTGGACTGTGTTGTCTTCCATCAAGTGTACTTGCTTCCTAGGACACTTTTTCCTTGGTGGATCATGGAAAACTCTCCCCCTCCCCAAGGCAGGCTCTGATTTACCTTATAGATGCTTCTCTAAGAGCTCCTAAAGCCTCCAATACTGGAGATGCCACAGCCGGTGTAGGAGAACGACCTAAAAAAAAAAAAAAAAAAGATCAGAGTGAGGCAGGATTTTTTTATTTTGAACAATGTCAATCTGCACACCTGTTGGTACAACTTAAGTGTCACCTCATTACATTTCCTTCCCCAGACATAAAAGCATAGTGAGCAGTTTGTTTTCTGTCTGAAAGGGCCGTGACCATTCAGCTTTCGGAGTCTGCAGTGTGGCAGTGATGTTGCAGGGACCACTGCTGGTGGCTGATGAATGTGAAGGGACTGGCAGAGCAAGAGAGATGGAATTTTGTGTGGGAGAGAAGAACAGTATCTTCTGGGGTGCTCTGAAAAGAGGTCTACAGTCTTTTCTATCAAAACTCCTAATTCAGTTAATAGGATTTGCCATAAGCAAGGGCTGTTGTTCTGAATATAAATGCATATAATGCTGCAGCACCAACCAAACCCAGGCTGTGTGTTACAAGGGCATATGTAATAGCAGTAGCAGTATTAGCAATAATAGCAGTAATGACTGGCTCAAGAATGTGGTGGGTAATTTCAGTAGTCAACTCAAAGAGCTTTTAAACAATGAGGGTACACAGTGAGAAAGACTCCTCATGATAAAAAACAAGGGCATTTTGTCTTGTTTGCATTTTTCTTTCTCCTTTAGAAATAGCATGATTTCTGAATAATTCAGTTGTTTATCTCCTGGTAGAAACTGAGCACTGTCCCAAGCTGCTGTGATGCAGGACAGAGGCACCAGCATCAGGAGAATGTCCACCAGACAGGAGGAAAAAACAGAGGGGCTCGTCAGCCTGATGCACAAATAAACACAGCACTTGTTTCTTGCCTGCCTGTGCATTTACTGTCACTGTCCTTTGCTACAAAATTTATCATCTTCTCTTAGAGATTTCTCCTAATTATTTGTTTTATGGGTAGCTACACATTGACTAGCTTCCTTTCTATGTCTCTCATCACTGCTTTATGATATTTTCACATTAATCACTTGAGGGATTGGTGCTTCCTGGTGTGGATCGGGCTCAGAGGAGCACAGGAACAGTTTCTGATATGGATGCTGGCACAGGATGAGGCCCAGCATGGTGGTGAGCATCTGCAGCAGCAGACACCAGATTAGCTGAAGTCACTGCACATCTATCATTTTTTACCACTAATTTTGCTACCACTATAAGCAGGAATGCTATCCAGGAACCAGAAGAGCTTGAATAATAATAAGGTAGAATAATAATCATAAAATTGTTTTTAATTAGTTTCTAGTAATCATTTACAGATTTCTACTTCAGTTTATAACTGCAGAAACTTTGGGTTCTTTCCATGCACCATAAGCTACATCTGAACTTGGATTTTATTTTAGGACAAAATGAGGTGCATCTGAACAAGCTCTGGATTTTTCTTTTTCAGTTTCCAGACAAAGTCTAATTTTTATGGCATTATACACAACAATTGTTGAGGTACAATACTAATATTATTTTGTGTTTTCAAGGTGAGTTTTAGAATTTGTAACATGAGACTTCAGGTACATGTCACTCAGTTTTCAGACAGTAACAACACTGGCTTTGCCTCATAGAGTCATAGAATCATAGAATGATCAAGGTTGGAAAAGACCACTAACATCATCCAGTCCAACTATCAACACATCCCTACCATGCCCACTAACTCGGGGGGTTGGACTCGATGATCTCTGGAGGTCCGTTCCAACCCCTTCAATTCTGTGATTCTGTGATTCTAACCATGTCCCTCAGTGCCATATCTACAAATCTCTTGAACACCTCCATGGACAATGACCCCACAGCCTCCCTGGCCATCCTGTTCCAATGCATCACCGCTCTTCCTGCATTTTCCTAGTATCCAACCATGACAACAAGTGGAGATGTCTTTTGTATCCCTCTAGGATTACTTATGCCTTTGGCCCAAAGGAAGAGTACATGGACTCAGTCATGGGCAACCACAGATCCTCTGAAGCTTTGTTGCCAAGGTGGGACTTGCTTGGAGAATGCAAAAACACTGTTCTACAGAAGAGAAGAATCACAGAGCAATTGACTCAAATGTTCTTTCTCCATATTTTTCATGTAGCACATTAATCCCTATGGTGAACAGTTTTAGTCAATTCTTACAAGCCTTTTTGAAAGCATAAGTGGTGATTGTGAAGGGAATTAATGCAATGTTGGCACAGCATAACAGGCATGAACCATGCAGCACATATCACAACGGGTCTCCAAACCCAAGTTTTCTTCACAGCTGAGCAGAATTTGTTCCATTTCCTGCACAGCAGGACCACAGAGGGTAAATGAAATTGCACACAGTGTAGAGTCAGAACAGAAGCGTGCGAGATGTAGCAGAAGTCACTGCTGCAGTGCTGGAGCTGGAGGGGAAACAGCTTGAAGGACTGCAAGTGTCATTTCAGGAAGTAGGACCATTGGTGACCAAAGAGTGAATGCTGGGGTGAAGAAATTTGGAGAGTGCCTATTTCAGGGCTTGAACCATTCTTTGTCATAATGTACCTAGACTTGTGCCTTTGCTAAAGTTGAGGGCCCTTTCCAGAAGAAGTATGGTTTTCACAGACCAGGTCCCTAGCCAGTATTAAAATATATTAATCACATCTGGCAGTGGAGTGGAAGCAGACCATGCTGCAGCTCCCACTGTTGCTGCTGCCAGAGGCTGCAGAGCATCCCCCATGTTGTGCTGACGGACAGCCACACTGTGCCCAGCTCCTAGCAGGTCACCTTGCACACAGCCGCCTTGTGACTTGCATACAGGTGAAGCTGTGGTATCCTCTTCTGGAAATTTCGGAGGAGTGTAGATTACAGAAGATGCACAAACCACCTCGTTAACCTTTAAGGAACTTTACTACTATGTAGGCAAATGAATGCTTTTGCTATTCATCCTTTACTTTCTTGAACTTCTAAAGAGGAATCATCTGCTCTGTTTACTCCTGCACAGGTAGCACGTGTGCATGCAGCTAGGAAGGAAAGAAGGTGCAACGGTTACAGCGGTAGTGACATTTCCAGAAATAGAACAAGATCAAATATTTGGACGAGTCATGGATGGTATTACTTGCCACACCATGTGACCCCGAGCGACATTTCAGAGGAATGGCAGAGTCATAGCCAAAGTTCACACAGGTAACGTATATGTGCCTCTCAAACTGCTAAGCTCTTGGGTCACGCTGACACGGCGGTGAGCAGAAAGTTCATATGGTGGAGATGGGTATTGGCGGAGGTGGTCTTTTATTTCTGAGAAGTTATGCCTTTGAGTCATCTCAGCTAAAGCCTGCAGATGCCAGGGGAAAGTTTGCTCTGCCCTTCTATGGAAGTTGTGGGCACCTTAGAAACTTCTGCAATAAATATCACAAGCAACTAAATGAGGGAGGCACCATTTTTAGATGCCCAGAAAACAGCTGACGTTGCTCTTCATTTGCTGCCTCACTCTATGTGCTCAGAGCGTGAGATTCAAATTAAAACATTAAATCTTTATCAGCAGCTATCAGAGGTGTTATCCCCCAGTTTCCCTTTGCCCCTGGCCTTTCTGACCAAGAAGGGCTTAAGTTAGGATGTCTAAAGTGCAGAAGTAGCAGCAGTGTAGGCATCTTCCTGACTGTACCTCAACACAGCACACACAGCACCTTTACAGAAAATAACCTGCCATTCAGCCTCTTTCTGCTTATAATTCCACAGGCCTGTGAGCAAGTATAAAAATCTAATCATCTGAGTGAAATTAAATAAAAAGCACGCCTAAATCAATTACTATGAGCAGAGGAGATACGGAAAAGCTGTGTCCCTTGCCAGGCAGGCAGCTCGCCAGCCCCAGCACACGCCATGGTTTGCACGAGGCCTCACTTCGGGCTCCTCCTGGTGGGAACGGATGCAAACCCCACCAGGGCCCAGCTGGGGCCCTTCTGAGCTTTCAGATTCTGCTGCACAACATAACCCCAGTGCACAGAGCTGTATCCCGCCCACAAACCACTCTTAGAACTATCGTGCTCCCTGCACGGCTGTTACAGGTCAGAGGAACTGATTTTGCCCTTATTTAAAACTGTCACTGAAGGGTTAGCCTGTGAAGCAGCTGCACAGTGGGCTGACATTTCCTCCTGAACCAAAGAGCCGTGTGGATTGATAAATTACAATCGCGCTGTGCTGCGTCCTGCAGTGCTTCCAAGTGATGGAACGGCCCTGTGTCAGAAAAAACTGCAAGAGAAGCAATGCGGTTAGTGGGACTGACCTTGCAGCCGAAGGAAGAGGTCCTGCTGCCTGCAGCGAGCCTGGCGTGTGAGGGGAGCCACGCGCTGGGGCTGACAGGAGTCCAGGTAATATGAGAGGGGCAGAATGAGGTGAGGGAAGGGAAAATAATTGCGGTGGCCAATCCTAAGATGCCTGGTTACATGAATGACATTTGCACTCAGAAGGATGCCCTTGGGGACAGGAGCGGGATGTGGCAGAAGGAGGCGTGTGAGCTGAGTGACAGCTACACCATCCCTCACACACTTCTCTCAGGCAGAGAGGGCCATGGCCTCGGCCTGGGGGCCCAGGAAAGAGATGTCACAAACCCTCTCGGCCAGGCCTCTCACCTGGCCTGCCCAGAGAGCAGCCCCACTCACCCAGAGGGAGTAGGGTTAGAACACTGCAACCTCACAGTGTGGGTGAGGTGACATCACAGCGCAGGTGACGAGACAAGATAGCAGGCAGTTTTTTTTCAATCTTTTTCTTCCACTACACTCATTGTTGGTTCTTGTAAGGCAGACGTGTCCAGAAATGTGAAATTTGAAGGTGTTGGTGTAAGAGAAGCACTAAAACTCCAGTTTGGAGTTATTGCAAAGTAGTGAAGAAATAAGAACATGAAAGAAGGAATATACAATTTCATTGGCCTAGTTACTTTCTCATTGGAGCTAAGCATTTTTCAAGGCTGGCAGAGAAACATAAGGGCCAATACTGAGCAGCTTTCAAAAAAATCCAACACTTTATTTGTTCCCATTGTATGCTTAATACTTCTTGAATTATGCAAGGTGATTTCCTAAAATCAAATCTCAGATTTTTGAAGCTATATAAAACGTAGGCACTGCGTCCCAAAAATATCGTAAGGTATTTTGTCAATGAGAACAATGCGTTCTCACCATAATCATAACCAACCCCCCTCTTTACCACACCTGCTTTCTATCAAACCAGCACAGTGTTTCTGGTTTTGATAGAAAACAACAACAACAAAAACCCAATGGAGTTTCTCCTGTGGTAACATGAGCACAGAAATATGAGCATAACAAATCCACCTCAGCGCGGGAACTGGCAAAGAAAACAGCGAGTGACTCTTCCTGCCATGCTCAGCAAGAGTGCCTTGCTGGTTGCATCACTTCTGCTCTGGCAATGGGCCCCATCTGCGTGCAGCACGAAGTTCTGTGTGCTGATGCATCTATGCTGACTGCAACCACTGTCTGCAACACAGTCTGAAGCTCAGACCTCATTTTAAGTGTTTGACTGAAGACAGCCTTTTCTCACAAAGATCTCCTCCTCAAAGTAGTTGGCACCATGAATGTAAGCACCTTTGTAACACACTCAGATGTCTAAGCCATTTGTTAGAGCCTGGCAGGACAGAAGATGAAAACAAAACTCAGGCTGCTAACAAACATCACAAGCAGCTGGCAGAGTTAGCAGGTTCCCTTGCCGTTTCTGAAGTTTCACTCAGTACTTGAGAAATAGCTCAGTCCCTTGAGCTGTTTTCTGAGGAACTCAGCTACAGAAACAATTGGAATGCTAAGAACCATCCATAAATAATGCTCTCAATTCATCTCTATCTAATCTCAGTATTTATCTGAAACCTCTCATTTAAGATGCTGTCTTGGTTTCTGTGCTTGTGCTGGTGAGTTAGTAGTAGGTGGGTGTTAATTCTATTGCTATTCATTTTAATGCTACCTGTCCCTGTGCAGAGAGTTCAGCCGAAATTTAGATGTAATCTGTGCCCCATTTAAGTTTTTTTTTGTGTGTGTGGAAGCTGTTGAGCAGAGAATCTACCCATACAGATGACAAAAAGGTAATTTTGTTTTATGGGAAGGCATTCCTGATTAGCACATTTGTTTGAAAGAAAATTTCTTTAAAGTCAGATTTTCACACTTGTGGGAAATAGAGTTATCAAAGCAACTATGACAGAAATTGTAAGTCTAGCTGTAGTTGCTTATTACAGGTGCTGAGTAAGGAATTATAGGATGCTAAATTTGTGGTGAAGAGCTTGCAAGGACACCTGTCATTATTAGCTCTCCTACTGCTGGAATCAGAGTGCTGGCATCACGCAGCTGCAAAGAGCCACTCCTCACACCATCGTCAAAAGCTAAAAGTCAGCTTGCCCTAGTGCAATGAAAATCACTGGTTTTCAGCTTCAGTGGGTCTTTAATTCTTCAGATTCTTAAGGCAGTCATATGCCAACACAGTGAAGCATGCCTTCTTGGGAAGAAATATTCTTGTGTACCAAATGATTACCAGAGATCTTATTTAGATTGTGGAAGTTCATTATGCAAATTGCATATGCAAATTACTGAGATCTCAGACAGAAAAGCATTCTGTTTTGAGCTGACAAAAAACAAACAAAAAACCAGTTATATCTCATTGAAGTTGATTGCCATTTAAGCAAGTACTTGGCGCTAAGCAGGGGCAAAAATTTTCCACTGACCAGGTGCTCAAGTAGGCACAGAGTAGTCCTCCTACAGCTGTGGCTGCTCAGCTTACTTTTAAGTGCTAATACATGTCTGCTAAATAAAAAGTTGAGCTGGATCCAGCCAACCATTTAAAAATAACCCCAGTTATTTTAAGTTATTAAAGTTGCTCTCGACAGGACATCCACCACATTCTATACGAAAGGTTCTCTATAATTAGCAAAGTGCTTTTTGGTCTAAGAGAGGAGAAAGGACTTTTCTAGAAACGAGCCTGACCCTACGGGAAAGTAGGAATATTCATAATCCTTACAAGAGAATCATGGGGCCTTCGTGACTGTCTAAAAATTGATCGTGCTATTTTCTGCCAGAGCGCACTGCAGAGCTCCACAAGGCATGTTTTTGGACCCGAGCAGGAAGACTGAAGGTAGAAATAGTCTAGTGTAGATTCATGTGTGAAAGGGGCGGCCATTTAATTTCAGACGATTTCAGCCCTTTGAAAATTGCTCTTAAACAATATTTTTGTGGAGATTTTGTCTCACTTAAAAAAAAGTTGTATTACACTGAAATGTTTTTTAAAATTTTTATTTTTTCCCCCTCTCTCAAGAGAACAGGTTGAGAACAAATGTAGCTGCTCTGCAAGAGGGAATCCTGATATTGCATTCTCTCATCCCCATCCCGGAGAATGATACTTAACTCTCTTTCTCCTGTCACTCCTGCATGGCCAGCTGGTGACAGTGATGGAAACCATTTATTTCATTTCACAAGACACCTTAACTAAGGATTTGAGTCTGTAATATTCAAAGGGAGATTCTTATTCTCCTCATAAAACAATACAGCAAAATGCTGCATTTACTTTAAAATGATTAATTATGCCAATTACCAATAAAGAAATGGAAAAATTAATCAATTCTGAGATTGTGAGGGAATTCTACAGAGAAGCGCAGCCAACATATTCAAATATGTTAAAGTCTGGGCACCTTTATCTTTCCACCATATTGATTCAATACTTTTCATTATGGCAATTCCAGCAGGCGTAGTGAGGGAAGAAGTGTCCTCTTTTCAACTGCATGGCCAATCAGAAATGAAACTTTCACAACAAGAATAAATAAAATATTTAGATTTATAAGAGCATGAAAAAGACAGTTAGGACTTTGTGAATTCTTTTTGTCTGGAACAGTTATTAGTTTTCACTTATGCGAAACACACTCAGGACCTAGAAAGGTAAAATCAAACTGGTTCCCAATCTGAATAAGTGAGTAGCTTCCAGGAAGGGCAGTGAGAGACAGTATGTCTTTAGTAACAGCATTGCTGCCTAGTTTCCAACATGCAGCCATGTGCACAGCTTGTGTGCAACTATGGCAGACCAGTGCCTGGTCTGAAGCTTACACAGAGGAGTTGCTTCCAGTGGGAAAACAAATTTAAAATAGCTTCTGCTAGAACACTTAGCAAGGCAAGTATGCAGGCTTGGCTCAGGCAGACAGAAACTGAAACGAACATCATGGCTTGTTTCAGTGCTCATTGAGATTTCAAGCTCTTCCCGAATTTTATTTCTTCAAGAATACACAAATTCTGGATCAGAATATTCAAACTCAGCTCTCAAGGTAAGCTCAGTCTTCATGATTCTTGTTCGTTACCTTTCCTCAATCAATACCAAACTCAGGTTTTTCTTTTCAGAGCTGACATTTCAAATGGCATCTGACAGCTTTCCTCTCTTTCTTCATTCTCAAGATTAAAAAGGCAGTATGCTGTCGGATTCTCTGACTATTACACTGAGTCTACCACTTTGGAGAATATTTAGTGGTTGCTTTCCTGTGACATACTAAGAAGTGGAATACTGCAATCTCATTCACAGATCTGTGATTATGGCAGTAAGAGAAAAATATAAAACCAGCCAACTTGTCAAAATAAGCTTAATGAAACAGTTAAAATTGAAGGGAAAACAACTTGAAATGAAAATGATCTTGCAAAAGCCAGGATATTTTAAAAGAGCTGCTTGTCAGGTTAAGTTTTTTTTCTTGAATGAAAACATCTGACATCTTCAAGAGTAAGCTGCCCTTTCAGGTCAGTTCCAGTCCTCACGTAAAACAATGAGAATATAAAAAGATTGCAAAAAAAGTGATTGCAGGGTTACAGAACACCAAATGGATTCTGATTTGAATACACCACTTTGTGCCCTATTTATGTGTTTAAATTACTTTATTTCTTGAAACAGATTTAATAGGTATCTTTTCATCCAATTTAATTCAACAAAGGAAAACAAACCTTACTTCCAAACCTAGAATGTTTTCTCTTAACGTGTATTGAGTATGTGGCTATATGACCTTTAAGTCCAGAGCAGTACAGGAGCCAAGAAAAGGCTTAGGATATTTAGTCAAAAGGTCAACAACACAGCAACAAGAGGAAGATGTTAGGGACAATGCTATTTTCTATTTAAATAACTAATTGTTTCTTGTTTCAAAAAACATTCTATTGAACTAGGAAGTCTGAAATGCTATTTAAACTCTAGCACCTTCTAATTATCTGCAGGAGTACAAACAGAATGGAGGTGTAGAAGTACACAGGTTTTCCTCAGCTGAAGGAGAATGAGCTGTGCAGCTGGTCCTGTTTAATCTGCTCCAGATCTAATTTAGTCACTTTGCCCCTACACATCACAATGGATCAGCGTGTCTGAAATTGGTTTCATTCTTTGCTCCAAGTTAAAAATCAGCTTTCATCCCCATTG